CCCCCCCATCGACGTGTAGTGAGGCAGGATTCTACTATCGCCCCGATGAGCCCTAAGGAGAAGGGCAAGGCCCCGACCTGAAGGGGCAAAAGGGCAAGGGCAAGGTTACCTCTGAGGGAACACTGCCCAAGGAGGTTAACCTCGATAGGCCTAAGGCCAAAGCTACAGGCCTTTTCCGCCACCAGTCCCTCCAGTCAGCTCCCATAGCTACCCATTCTCGCTTCTTTGTGCTTGACTCGGAGTCGAAGGAGGAGTTACACATTTCCTCCGACCATCTGGGAGCATCGACCAGCTCCCCTTTTGATGATGATGATTTATTAGTGGATGAGATAGAGTCTCCCGCCATCCCATTGTGTATCGAGGCCCCCCCTTTCTCAGCTTTCATGATCGTAGAGCCCTCTCCCCACCTTACGTCACTCCCTTCCCCACCAGCTCGACCCCTTCTGACCCTCCCTCCCACTTCTCCCTTATCCCCCGCTAGCAGATCTGGTCCGTCTTCCCCACAGGGCCAGGCGCAGAGCTCTAAGGGATTGGAGCACCTACAGCTCATCCTCTTACCCCAAGAGTTTCCCCCTATACGAGGGGACCTTTACAGGAGATCCCCGAGCACTGAAGACCACAGACCAGATCGATGACTGCGCAGCTCTCTGCTAGCCGAGCTCTGACCTTACCAGACATACAGACACAACCTAACCACGGACAACTCCAGTTAGGCGGTCCCACTGACGTTTGACATGTCAGTCACATCGCTTACATGGAATGCCCGTGGTCTGGCTATTAGGACCACCCTTGCTCATGTTAGATCTCTCATTCGTGAGCATAACCTTGACTTTGCGGCTTTTTTAGAGCTTATGACTCGTGACCCTTCTTTTGACGTATATTCGCGACACCTTGGTTTTCATGCCGGAATAGGAAACACCTCTAACAAGATTTGGTTTTTCCACTCGCATGACTTTACTTGTCAGATCCTTCGAGATACTGATCAATTCTTGCACGTGAAGCTCACCGCCGCCCATCTTCCGGAGCCGATCTTCCACACTTTGGTTTACGCCAGCTGTGCGAGGGTTGGTCGCTATAACCTCTGGGACACCATGCGTGAGATTGCTGAGAGTATGGAGGGATTACCGTGGATG